GGAGGACGGGGACCTGAAGTTCACTACCAGATCTGAAAGCCTAAAGAACTTTCCTCTGCTTCTCAGCTTCCAGAATTCTCTGCATTGCTGAAGTTTCTGGCCTCTCAGACCAGATGTCCCTAGATCCTTTTTGGGTCATGCTGACAGGGAGCATAGGAGACAGGGAGGGTAAAGAGGAATACTGACCTAACTGCAGGAAGAGACTAGCACACTCTAGCTAGAGAAGACACCCCAGTTTGGTCGCCTGGTCACAAGAAAATAAACATAGGTTATTACTGAATTCCTAGATCAAGAAGCCACTAAAACACCTGACCACAGCCCCAGGCCTTAGGATCCTGAGGGAGAAACTTTCTGTGTCCATTTTGAGGTGGACCTTAGCTCAGAGAAATGTCCACTATGTAGTGGAATATTATTCTGCCATAAAAAGTAATCAACAGCGCCCCACCCCCACCTCCGCGCCCCGGGTTAAAGCACAGCCTAAGAAACTAAAGCCACTTCAGCATGAGTTCGATCCCCGCCCTGGAGGTGACCCACATAGTGCAGCAGACCTCTCCTGACGCGTTCCTGCTCCCCTCAGCAGTGTACTTGTCAATCTGCCTGTTCTGCTCCCCACTCTGTCTCTGGTGAATCCTCTCACTGCTCCTGCACCTCTGGCTTGTACCCCAGTTGTGTACACATAAATAAATAAATCTTTAAAAAAAATAAGGAAGTTAAATAAAACTATTTACTCAAGTGTGACGTAAACCATACTAATAATTAGCTAACATTAAGGGTCACAAGATATGGAGTATATGGAAACTTCCTGTTCTATCTTCACAGTTTCTCTGTAAATTTAGAACTTCTCTAAAAAATGAAGCCTACTTAAAAATACATTATTGCAAAATGAAATGTAAACTATAAATGCAGGGGGGTTATCATAAAAATGATCTATGAATGTAATATTCCACATTAATAGGAGGAATCAGTACTTACCTATATGGGGCTGGGGGTACAGCTAAGCAGGAATAGACTAAACTAGCTTAAAGAGTTTCTAGGGGCCTCCCTGGTGGCACAGGGACGCTATCAGGCTATCACTAGCCACTGCAGCACTAATTCCATCTGCTGCCAGGAAGCTGACCTACATGGTACAGCAGACCTCTCCTGTTTCACCCACTGCTCCCCTCAGCAGTGCAGTTCAGCTGATCCTCCTGTTCTGCTCCCCACTCTGTCTCTCACACACCTCCCACCTCCAACACACACCCCACCTATGGCCTATACCCCAGTTCTTGTATGCATAAATAAATACATCTTTTTTTAAAAAGTTTCTGCCAAAAATAATGTGAGGCCCAGTGCAAATGAAGAAGATACCAGAAATGTTTCAAAGCCTTTGGTCAGAAATTATTAAGTTCCGGCCCTCCCTGGTGGTACAATCGGTTAAAGTGCAGCACTATGAAGCCAGCTGCAGCACTTCAGCCAGGTTGCTGACCCACATGGTGCCCCAGGCCTCCCCTGTCTTGCTGGATGCTCCCCTCAGCAGTATACTTCATGGATCTCCCTGTTCTGCTCCCTCCTCTGTCTGTGGTGAATCCTTTCACCGCCCATGCACCTCTGGCCTGGAGATAAATCTTAAAAAAAAAAAAATCATAAAGGTAACAGCAGAGTGAGGGTTTTTTGAATAGAGGGCTCTAGACGACTGCATAGCCCCTTAGCCCCACCTACCTCCAGCAAACTTCCCCCTAGTCATCTAATAAAATCTATGATAAGAATAAGATCAGAGTTTCCAACCAATTAAATAATACAAGAAATAATAATAACAAAATCTAAGACTTGGAGGGGAAAAAACAAAGTTATCATTTTCAGGTGACAGAGTAGAATCTACAATCAATCTACTAGAACTAAAGAGTTTAAGATTGCTTAATGCAAGTGCAATAAGTAAAACTCAACTGCATGACTATATACCAGCAATAAATTATACAATTATAAACTGTAATTTAAAAAAATCTATAGTAGCGCCATCAACTATAAGATATTAGAAATAAACGTAATTTTTTAAATTATGGTAAAACTATAGAATTACACTTAAAGGTAAAAGTGACCTCAAGGAAGGGAAAGATTAACAATGTTCAAGTTATATAACGCATGACCTATGAATATAATTTTTTAATTATTAAAATGAAACGTCAATGCCTCCCTTCGAGTTTAAGAAAAAGGACACTTTAAAGCCCTATGTGGACCTTTCTCCACACTTTTCACTCGCTACCATGGACTAACCCCAAACCTGAATTTTCGATTAATCTTTAGTTCGCTAGGTAGCTCCCTGGTGGCGCGAAGAGTTAAAGCGCAGCACTGCAAGCTAACCCAGCCGAGTCAGTGAGAGTTGGGAGACCGCTCCTGCCGCGCCTGCCGCTCCCCTCAGCAGCGTACTTCGTTGGTCTGCCTTTTCTGCTCCCCACTCTGTCTCTGGTGAATCCCCTCACGCCCCTGTACCCAGTTCTGTATGCACAAATAAATATTTTTTTAAATCATTAGTTAGCCTCAAAGCCCGCCTCCCCATCAGAAAACATCTTCACTTAAAAGCAAAGCCCCAGTGCACGTGTAGAGAAAATCTGATTTTCGCTAGTTGACCAGGAAAGTTTTGAACGCGGGCAGCCAGGACGCCCTTGTACCCTCTCAGGAAGCCCCTGCGTATTGCTTGAATATTAAGGTATTTCCGCAGACCAAAGGGCTGCAATTCCGGGCTCATTTGCATACCCATAATACACTGCAAACGGTTCAAAATTTTTCAAGTAAAAAGTATATTTTTCTTATTCTACTTCTTTAAGTGTAAGAATATTTTCATCAAAATTTCTCGAGTCAACTTCTTCAGGAAGTAACTCGTGGAATAAATAGCCACCATTAGTAGTCTAGGAGTTACAGATGCCTGATAAATGAGTTAAGGCCGCCAGTCAAGTATACTCTGGTTTCTCTTCAGATCGTATAAATCTTTCGCCTTTTACTAAAGATTTCCGTGGAGAGGAACAATTCTGAGTCTTTACCCAATTTTTTGAGGCCTTGTTTCCGGCAAGGCTACTTTATGGGGTTTAAAAACAGAATAATTGTCTTTATACTTATTACCGCTATTTTAGCCTTATCTTACCTTATAGTTGACCAGTAAACTTATGTCGAACCTGTTTCTTTTGGTACTCGGTAAATATTTTTTGTCTATTTGTTTAAGTCTCTAGTCTCTAAGTTATTTGCAGTTAGTTGCAGGAGTTCGATTCTTGAAAAGAAGACATCACCCCAGGAGTGCAATAGATCTATATTGTCCTAGCTCCCATCAGCAGTGTGTGCTCAGTAGATCTTCCTGGCCTGTTCCCACTGTCTCTGGTGAATCCCCGCACCGGTGCCCGTTTGTATGCATGAATATATAAATCTTTCAAAAAATTAAAAAGTAAAACGTTAGGCGGCGCTAAGGGTTGGAGCGCAGCATTTTTTTTTTTATTAGAAAGTTTATTTTTACATCATTTTGCACATTTTTTTTTCCATCTCGATTGTAATCCCCGCGGGTTGGAGCGCAGCATTTTTGAAGTTTGCAGAAGTCACTTCAACAGTTCAATCTCTGTTAGGGAGGTGACCCACATGACGCAACAGACCTCTCCTGTCTCACCTGCTGTTCCCCTCAGCAATGTGCTTTGTCAATGGATTCACGGCACCTGCACCTCTGGACTGTACTCCAGATCTGTATACATAAGATAATTTAATAAACCTTTAAAATTTTTATGTAAGTGCAATCATATGCAGTCCTTGTGTTTGCTTTTTCCACTCAAGATTATGTTTAATGTGATACGCAAGTTCATCAATTTCATAATGCACATACATTACTGTTTTATTTCAATCGAATACAAGGGGCTATACTTACAGGAGATCAATATTTCGTTTCTTGGCAGTTAGGACTTTTTTCAAAGAGTATCATAATTATTGTTTGACTAGGTAGAAAAGTAAATGAAAAGTTAAAAATCACTTCACCTTAACTAGCTAAAATCCATCCGAACTAAATGATCACCTAGGTGCATGGGTAGGTGAATGTATGGTTTACCATACTCCATCCTATTAAATTTTATCATATAAGAGTTTTGAATATACTTTTCACCAATAACAGTGAAATCGTCACACACACAACAAATCTTAGCTCAGGTTAGGACTTTCATTGGAATTGCTTGAAATCTATAATTAGGGGAAATTGAAACTTTCATAATATTGTCTT